ACGGTGCTACTTGGCACGCTGTTCTGTGGTCTGCAGAGGTGTTGTTTAATAAGAGAACTAATCACAGCCAAGTTTTGATGTCAAAAGCCAGGCAGTGACAGGAAATCGGCGTGAGCACAATTCCACACAATTCCTAATCCTTTCCCCGCATGAGTGTGTTTTCTCTTCTTTTCTCTTCTCGAGTGAGTGCACTCCCTCTGGTGGCTAATTTACTATCTCTATTTCACTTGGTTTTTTAGAGGTAAGGTTGCATATGAGCAGCTGGCTAAAAGAACTGAGAGCAATATGCTACTGCTTTTATTAGACTAAAGTTTTATGTTCTCAGCACTGAGAGCACAGATAAAGTCTGGCCATTCAAACATATTTAAAAATAATCCCCATTCATGGCAAAAGATGAAGCTAAAAAAAAAAAATCTGTTCAGAAAGACTACTTCTTGAAAGAAGCCTTAAATTTTATATTTTTATCAGGTAAATGGTCTGATGGCCTCAGTGATATTCTGTTTTAAAACCCAAGCTGGTCATTCACAGAAGAAACCCATAGGTAGACTCTATATGCTGGAAAACATTAAAAAAAAAAAAAATCTCTTCACTCTTTGAAGGATAAACTTCTTTTGGATATGGTTTGTATGTAATGTGTTCATACAAGCAATTTATTTGCCTACACATTTTTTTAGAGTGCTTATGGTTAAGCAAAGCCAGTGTTACAGTGGCATTCAGTAATTAAACACTATACTGAGGCTGGAAAATATCAGCAGAAAGGATTTAATATACTCTTATGTACTTAATTAGCTGTCATGTTGTATTTCAAAAGAGAGGAACGCAAGCAGAAATGGCTGTGAACTTGCTTGCCTGTAGCTTGATACATTCCAACACCCAGCAAGATTCCTGCCTTATGGAGAAGAGCTGTTTCCACACCTCTTCCAGCTGGATTTAGACACTGAGCTGACCATGTCTGCACCACGGTAGGACTTAAAGTAATTTCTGTGTATTTGGAGCATGTTTAGTAAGGGCAAGAGGGAGAGAGCTGTGGTATTTCATGTTATCCCACTGTATCCTCATCAACACAGGCAACAAAGTGGCCTGGCACAGTCACCACTGCTTGGTCATAGGATGGGATCTGCAAAACCTCTTGGTTCCTCTGGCTCATCGCCTGCAGGATTAGACCAACGCTGATTTTAGAGTCCAAGGCTGACATTGGAGTTCAGTCCTATCAACCAGATTTCTTTACTACTGTCTTAAAAAAGATTTCATGGTGGCCATATAATCTTGAATTAACTGCCTAATCCAGAAGACATCTAATTTCATAATCTATAATATCATCATTGAGTTTCTGTCATAATATTCCTAATTGTATGTCTGTTGCTATAGTGCTTCAATTTGGGGAAATTTCTGTTTCCTTACTCAGGAAAACAGTTTACACTCTCAAGACCAATTTGCCAGCTGGAGTATAGTTCTGCAAATGGATGCAAAGATAAGGCTTTTATAAATATCTGAAAGTACCATCATCTCTGCATTTATACTTCCAACAGTATGTATCTCAATGACAGGGCATCAGCCAGACATCTGCATGAGACAGGTCCTTGCTCCAAGCAAATGATGCTATGAAGGAGGTAGAGAGAGTAGCTGGGGCAGGTCTGTGGAGGCACGAGTTTGCCTCCTCCACTGGTTTGAACAAGCTACTGAAGAAAAAGTATGAAACCCTGGGATGGCACAAAGATATGTGGGGTGTCTTTTAAACGAGCTTTAAGTAGCTCTCACACATCCTCTGCATCACATCTGTTGGGTTTTCAGGCATGATTGGAGCTCCAGCCTGGTGCTCAAGAGAGACTTGTGAGACAAAGTATCTTGGTAATTTTTCCCCTCTTTCACATGGACTTTCTTCCTGACAGGACGCAATTGTGCTCCTGAGCAGATAGAGAGAGGATCATCAGTGGAGTAATCCATCCAGGGGACTGTAGTGATGTGACTGTGAGTCTTTTGACAGTCATGAACAGAAATCAAGAGAGAGATTCCCAATTAATAATATAAAAAAAAAAAAAGTCTACTCTTTGAGACCATGGATCATATGAATAACTTGGAAATCCCTCTGAATCTTAATTTATCCTCAGATAGTTTTAGTGTGGTCCTGAATTAGTATTTGCTCTAGTACAAACGAAATGTCAGTTCTGTTTTGCATACTAGTCTGATTTGATTTAATTTAGGGATAACTGGATATTTCTCTCAAAGTCTTACCTCCACAGTATAATATGAGAAACCTAGGGTTTGGGGTTGGGGTTTTCTAATTATTCTTTAATATTTGTCATTCACCCTTAACTGCTGTAAATGAAAGTGGAGCTATGTGTACTGTACTGATAAAATACCCTCACCAAACAAAAATGGGAAGGAACCAACCTCCTCCTAATTTTCCTCTATTTTGCTCATCACTTGCTGCTGGGCTTGACCTTATGTTTTAAAATATCTATACTTTACTAGTTATGTTAAAATAAAGCACACTAGGTATAGTTTTGAAATTCACCAATAATTGGAAATATCTCTTGTAGCCCTAGTGATATTTTTTCAATATGACTTTTGTATATAGGACAATTATTACTATACTCTGAAATAAATTTTGTAGTTTGGTATAGGAAACCCAAATTTAATCAAATTGCAATGTCTTCATATCAGTGCAAATTATTTTGACATTGAGAGAATGTTACCAGTTTTCAAATTATGTCATAAATATTGCTGGTTTTTTATTAGTATAACATGACTGTTTACATCGGTGTAGCTCAAGAGGTATGTATTACACTCATCTGTAACCACTGTAATCATTGGAAAATGTTCTTGTGCCCTATATATTCCTCAAACTGCCTTTTGGGTTTTCTTTGGGGCGGAGGGTTCAGCCTACTTTCAGCCTACAGCTGTTGAAACTAGAGACTTGCTATTGAAAAGACAAAACCAGAAAAACCTCAAATGAATAGTCTTCCTGGCATTTGTTTAAATCCTGGAGCAGCTACTTAGTCCAATTCGCAGTGGCCTACAGCATTTTTTTACTAAATAGGAATATTTTTGGCCATAGGATTGACTTCTACAGTTTTCTTCCCATGGAGTATGAAGGAAACTGAAGGTTGTACTCATTTCAGAAGATCTTGTATATATAAGATCTTTCAAAGGAAAAGAGAGAGAGAGGCAGACAGACAAATGGAGACAGATGTACATATATGAAGAAAAGTTCACTAATGTTTTAGAAATGCTTTCTTCTTGGCTGTCACTATCATCCTCATGAAACTTATTCAGGCACCTTAGCCAAATTGACTCTTCTTTATACATACAGCTAAATGAATACTCTTACAATTCTTTAGAAGCCTACCATTGTTAGAAAGAGTTCATAATGATTCTTTTTTTACCTTTTTTTTTTTTTTACTTTTTTTGTGTAAGTTCTCATGCTGAGTAGGCTTAAATGAGCAGGAAAAAAATAACAAATGTTTGGTGATATTGGTTAAAATTTGCATAACTCTTTGGATAACTTCATTAATTAGTTGAATTAGTTTTAAAAGTCATAAATAACTCCTTTCAGAAACTTCTCCATTTTGAGCCTTATTTTAAAGGGGAGAATGATAGAATCTTTAGGCCACCACACTTCAGAGAAAAGACACTCTCTTGTGTCTCATTACATTTGTTTATGCTTTTTGATTATGGGAGAATCAAAAAAAAACCCATACAAAACTAAACCCCAATAAACCCCAAAACAAAGCAACGAAACAGTAAAAACCCAATCTAACAGCTGCTTTTAGCAAGATTAAAATCCTTCCAAATAATGTGAGGGATTGAACATGAGTCAAGTTCAGCAGAATTACTTGTGGCAATCCAGCTCTAGCATTCCCTTAAAATGCATGTGATTTAAAAGCTCTGTGTGCCTGTAACAGCTTAAAAGAAAAATGAAGAAACAAAGAAAACTAAAACCAAAAACCACATTAAGAGCAAAACAAAGAAATAAACAAAATCATCTTTGTATCTCAAAATTCTCATTTCAGGTGTCTTGTAGACAAAACCTGATTTCAGGTGATAGCCTGGTGCAGTGTGACTCAGTGACAGGAAAGAGTTCACAAGGTCCCTCCCTCAAGGATTAATATTTGTAGGAAGAAATATATTTTAGCTCAATCAAAAAGTAAACAAGACTAACAAAGACTCAAAGATGAGATTCAATATCCAGGCCTTATGATGATGCTCTTGAAGCTTTTTCCTCCTGTTGTGTCACAAAAAGTCATTCTATATATTTCTGCGCTTTTTTTCCCAGATGATGAAATTAGTTTATCAATCCACAGAGACTGTTGGGGTTGTGGCATTCTCCTGCTTCAGTTCCTATAAAGTTGCCAAGGAAAAGAGGATATGAATCAGCAAGTGCATGAAGAATAATTACAGTTGAAAATAAAGGTGTGTTATTTAACTCTGGCTTTAGAACTGTATAGCTTCTAACCTATCAAATAGATTATAGACTCTATAAAAAAAAAAAAAAAGCACATTTCTTTTGCCTACAAGCGACACAAAAGCAGGGGCTCTTGGATCCATGAAGGGGAGCATAAATAGTGCCTCTCCTTCAAGGACAAAAGTGCCTGGGCTGCGAGAAAGTAAAAATGCTTTGTTATCCCTTAGACTTACCAAACTAGACATACAAAATTACATAGCTGCAAAGGAAGGAATTTTTTCCAGTGCAGATATCCAGTGCATTAAAAACACCCTCATTAACTCAGCTTAGGCCCATGATTCCAACACCACTATACGTATAAAATAAATATAAAATATTTTTGTCACAGAAAATCAGCATTGCTCATCTCCATCTCTACTCTTAGGCCAAAAGGCATCTGTGTCCATGAACCGAAACTTGCTGAGAAGTCATCCTCCACAAGCCACGTGGTTCATCCCAGCTTTTGGGGCGGGTCTTTGATTCAGGGAGTTGAGCTGGGTAGTCTCTGCATTCCTCCTTTGAGATGAAGAAGACAGGCACAGATGTGAAGGAAGGGATGTCTCCAGTCCTTGCCTGTTTACTAGTTTTCCTGGCAGGCTGCTCAGGATGCCAGCACCATGCCTGCCGCTGCATGGGCAGGGTCTTCATTTGTCAGGAGAGCAAGGTGGTCCAGGTTCCCCGGGACATCCCCACCAACATCACTGAACTGTAAGTAGGGAGAGGGATGGGTTGTGAGCAGCAGCCTCGTGGCTGGCTCTCAGAACAAACTGCTGCTTGGCAAGGCAAGAGTCAGGTTTGTCAGGGAGTCACACAGGAGACTTATGCCTGCTTTTTGGAAAGTACCGTCCTTACTCTGATGCTCGCTCAATTGCATCTTGAAACTCCTCTCTGTTACTCTGAGTGTGGTCATTTTAAGATCTCTGCTAAGAAAAGATGTGGTACTTTATAATGCAAATCACAGATTAAATTTTAAACAAGCTTCCTTGGTGCTGTGACAGTAGTTTGAAGCATAAAGTCTAAGCTTTCTTTGTAGCTTGTTTTAGCATTGTCGAAACGTGTAGTGCAACTTGCCCGCCCCAAACAACTTGCTGATGAGATTCTGTGTTTGTGCTGCGGGAGCTTTCCAAAGCTTTGTTCTTGTTTGCCAAGAAGCAACTTAATGTGTTTTTTTTTTTTGAAAGCACAAAGGCATTAGAGAAAAGACTCTGATAAGCATTCAGAGAGAGATCCTCCTCTATCAGAGTAGCAGTACAACTGCAGTTAGAGAGTGAACAATGTAAAGATACTGTACTGCGTTACTTGGGAAAGGGGTTTATCTATCTTAAAGCTTCTCTTTGTGTTACATAAAGTAATGTGAGCAATACTGTGTGACAGATGTTTTCTATGTCAGTAGCATAGAAGAGCAAAAGAGCTTATGCACTGGCAAATGTGTAACTGTGCAAGTGATTGTTTTCACTTTAATTTTTTTGGAAGCGAATTATATCACCCCTTGCCTACACCTACAGCTGTCAGACATCACTGCCACCTAAAGTAAAACCAAACGAAGTAGTCCCGGGCAAACACTTGATTAATAAGTAGAGTGGCAAGTTTGGAGGGAGGATACAACAAAGAATGATATGTCACTGGTTGGAAAATATACCTTTATTCTGATTTAACACACCACAATGTATCAAGGGTTCCTATTCCAAAGTTTTCCTAGGGCAAAAGTTTAGTTTTGTTCAGAAGGAGGAGTTGTTACGTTCACTGAATAAGTAGATTGCAGTGAAAACTTGAGAAAAATGTCTGAAGTAACCACAGAAGGTCAGTAAAAGTTTAAATCATTCTTGCAACTAGAGGGAAAAATAATCCATCTGTGACTTAGGTCATCTGAATCCTGAGTGAACTGTGCTCCGGGCATATATTGCTAATTTTGTTTAATTTTGCTTTGATTGTTTCTTTAGATTACACAGTTAAGGTCTGCCTTCTAGGGATTAAGCAAAAGCACTTCACAATTATTTCTGCAAAGAAGTAGTTTTATATCACTAGAAAAGCACATGGTAGTAAAACAGGGTTTGTTCACAGTAGATCCTTGTTAACTTCTCAAGGGTTTGTTGAGGATGTTAATTTGTGTGTTCCTCAGCACGATTGTGAGTTGTCTGAAACAGGCAGACTGCAACAATTGTGCCACTGAAATCCTTCCTTCTGGCAGCACTGGGTAAATATTTGAGTTAGAATCTCCCAACTTGACTCTCTTCTCACTTATACCAACTTTTGGTTCCTTGGAAGGTAATTCTGGTCCTGTTCAATCAGTATAGCCCTGGGACTGATTTCAGCATGGCTTACAAATTTTTCCGTGAAAACTCAGTAGAGTTACTTTGAATATACCAAATGTTAGTGTTACTAAAGTCAGCTATGTTAGCTGAAGGTCTGTTAAGTGACAGATAAACCTTTAGATTTTTCCTTCAGGGTCAAAGAGCAACTCTAGAAAGGTGCTTTCCTACACATCTCTCCACTGAGTGCCCAGTGGCATGATTGAGGTGGCTAAAATAGAATTTACTGCTCCAGGTTGTGTTGTAAACCATTGATAACAGAAAAAAAACTTGCTTCATGTTTCCTCAAAAAGCTTCAATGAGTCAAAAGGGTTTTAAAGTCAGTGTAGCAACTTGAACATAGATGGCCACAGTGTCTAAGGATGCTATATAGGACACAAGCAGAGACTTCATTTTGCTCAGTACAACCCCTCCAATGTACTTGTCTAAGTTAAGGGCTCATTCTGGAAGTGCTGGATGCAGTCTGTTTTTGTTTGTCATGAAGGAGGTTTTTTTTTCCAATACACTTATAGCTCTTCATCTTCTCTTTTGTCATCTTGACAGTTTTCCTAAGCTGTCCTAGAGTCCTAATATGGTGTCTTTTAGATATTGCATAACATGCTGGTGAAAGCTTTGGAGAGAGAACAGGACCCTGATAAGCCTCAAGCACTTCTCCTGCTGCTGCATGTTTCTATTCCACTACAGCTGTTTCTTAAGTTGGGAAACAGGCATGTGGCAGCCAACTCTGTTTCTAGGCAAAAAAAACTCAGGATAAAGGTAAAAATGTCGCTTTCAGCAACCGTTATCTATGCTTCTTGCCATGGCTGATTTTTTTTTTACGCTTATTTGAGGGTTGGCCACTGACACATGCTGCCGTGATGGGTTTCTTTGTGGTTGGTTTCCCGACACTGTGAGCTTACACTCCACAGCAAACATGAGCTCTGAAGCATGGTATGAAAGCTGTTTTGTTTTTTTTTTCCTGATTGGATTAGCATCTCTTTAGCAACGGTGTTGCAAAGGGGAGAACTGGCAGCCTCTTATGGTGATATATTGCCCTTTGTACCCACCATGTGGAAGCAGAGAAGGGATCAGAAACTGTGAGTTTTCATTACTATTCTTACTTCCACATCTACTTTTTCACTTACTGGCCAAACTCTCATGAGAGAATAGTTCATACTTACTTGGAGCTTGGTTCATACGTTGCTTCTTTCAGATTTGCAATCACTCTGCAGCTAGCATACTTTGAGTGTTTGCAGGGGAGACTGTGGTTATTAGTTGTTTTGCTTTATAACCTTTGGCTGGAAGAGGAGCTGGATAGAAGAATTGTTGGCACTTTTTTATAGATACTGAAATGCCTGTGAGAAACGTAGGTGGTTCTGGTTTACAACTCTGGAGATAATCCATGAGAAAGCAGAGGCTGAAAGTTCAGATGGGAAACAAAGGTTCATCTGTGTCAAATTATTAACTATTAATTGCCTCACAGAGTGAGAGAGGGGGAGCAATGCAGTAGTGACATAAGGCAGTTTATTCCTTGAATGTTTAAAACAGTTATAAAATCCAGTGTTAAGCTTTATAATCTATCCTTAGTATTCATTAAGATTTCATTTACTCGTTAGAGGTCTTGCTTTGACAGAGCAATAACTTGTTCGCAGAATAGAAGGAAACTTTCTTAAGATTTAGCAAACTACTTTAAGCAGAAACATACGAATATCAACTGGAAATACAACTCAAAATACCAAGAAAATCTTGCTCATTCTTTTACAGCAACTTCCTTCGCTTTTAGATTTCTCATTTCAGCAGTGCTTGAAATCACTCTTACAGTATCCCGGGGAAAAAGAGAGATCTACCCCAACAGCTATGTGCAACTATTTGGGCAGTAGAATATATCTCTGATTTGACAAAGTAAAGCAGCAGTACAAGGCAGCTTGAGAAGGGAGGTAAAAAAGGCTGCTTGGTTCAATTCTGCTTGTAATCCTGCAGAGCTATGTGAGAGAAACGTTAATATCAGCCTTTTACCTGCATACTGTAATTAATGTGGTGATCAAAAGGTATCAGGAAATCAAATTTGGTTAAGTTTTATTTGTTATAAAGAGAAACTGCCTCCAAATAAGTTAACATCCTAATTTTCTCCTGTTCCTTAACTTTTCTCCCTTGATGTTTAGCCCTCCTTAGCTGACATACGAGTGCTGCAGTCCACATCAACATGTAGATGTTAACCAGTTGGTTCTGTCTTCCTATTTCTACACCATGGAGATGATATATGAAACCATCTCTTGAGAATGCAATATCCTCAAAGAAAGCTTGCAAACTTAGATAGGTTTAATTCAAAGGAATTGTTTAACGTGTTAGTGTGCCAGAGGCTTCAGTAGAAGAGTGGTGTCAGTACTAGAAAAGGGCAACTGAGATGACTGAAATAATTGATAAGAGACAGCCCACCATTTGGCATCCATCTCTCAAAGTGCTGTCTAAAATGAAACTGTGTGTACAATAAATAAGGCCTAGTCTTGATCATGTGGTGTTTTGTATTTTAAAAACCATTCTCTGGCTTCACTAGCCAGTTTAGCCATTGTCGGTGTGGTTTAGAGGTACATTATATAGAGCGTTTTCTCCCAAGCATCTGCAAACTATGAAGAGTGGGGTATGTTACTTTCTCTTTGCATAGGTGTTTTTGTACAGTTCCTCAAGGATATTTATTTTAGAATATCAAGGCTGAGTAGATATCAGACCACTAATACAGTGACTGCCTTGAAATATCAAGTTTTGTGTTATGTACTGAGTCAGACATTCCTTGAGTCAGAAGCTGCAAATGATATGAAGAGTAGCTGCAATGCTCTTACTGACAGCTGCAATTAGGATTTTTTTTTTATGCTTTCACACTTGTAGTTGTTTGCAGGTTTCAACTTTAGTTCTTGATCAGGTGTTTATACTGTTGGACTGACCTTAATCTAAGAAATCTGATTGTGTAGAGGACAAAGTAAGCTAACAAGACAAAGACCCATGAAACTTTCAAGTCTCTGTGTTACGGTGGTTAATCATATAGTTACTCAAAAAATCCCACATATTATCAGAAGGAGATGAGAATATTTGCACAGCAGAGTATATTGAGAACATATTATGGGCTATCTAAAACTTTTTTTTAAATTGTTTTGTTTTATTATTATTTAAACCACCTTGTCTGTTAGGGTAGGAAAAGGACCACAGTTAGTGTACATTCTTCTTTCCCTGAATTTATGATCAGTTCATACTTTGAAGCAGAAAGCTACAGGGCTTGGTCTATGATCACTAGCTGTATATCGGTGGAGTTGTCCAACACTTATGCTGGATTCTGTATTTGACATTTTCATTATGAGGATAAAAAGAAATAGACAGGGTGTAATAGAGAACAAAGAAAAGGAAGCAAGTGACACTAAAGGATAATAA